ATCGTGTCCTGCCACCTCCTGTGGTTCACCTTCACCAAGGCGCTCGTGAACGTGCTCATCCGCAAGATCACGAAGCGCAAGGTCGTGTTCAAGTCCACCAAGAAGAAGGGCGAGGACGACGGCCGCGGCGCCAAGGCAGCGCGCCGCTGGTGCCGGCCGCCGGCCAACGTCGGGGACATGGAGGGCACGCTCGACGCCTGGATCCTGGTGGTCTCCTTCTCCTTCTCCTTCATCACCGCGGTGGTGGGGCTGTTCCAGATTATCGACAAGCCGTTCACCGCCCAGGGGGACTTCAAGTTCTACCTGATGCTCTCTGTTTTCTGGGCCGTCTACAACATGATCCCGCCCAGCCTGTTCATCTTCTACTGCTACCAGAAGGGCCACCTCTTTGAGGACTTCTGCAGCTTCTGCCTCACCCTGTCCTACCTTGTGGCTATGGCCGGTATCCTCTGCACGTGGCTGGTGCCCGACGACTACAACATGAGCCAGGTGCTCAACGTGTCGCTGCAGTTCTTCGAGGCGCAGCGCTCGGGCAAGGTGCCCCGCATCAGCAACACGCCGTGGCGCGGGAACAGCGGGCTGTGGGACTCGGTGCTGCTGCCCAACGGCAAGAACTACTCGCTCCTCGGCGGCTGGTGCGCGGCCGGCCGCGCGGGCCAGGGCTGGCTGGTGGGGTGCATGCTGGGCCGGCAGCTTTGTTGCGGCGTGCGGCCAAGCGGCTGCTGGCGCATCCGCTTGTTCCTGTGACCTGACTGCTTTGTTCTGCTTGTCTGCTGTGTGAAATTACACAGTTTTTCCAATCAGCTCGTTGATACAGCAAACCCTGATGCCCTGCGCCCGCCGTCCGCCCCTGCCCCCAATCAACCTCCCCTGGCCAGGTATGACGACGGCGGCATGCTGAAGCTCTCCTACACCACGGCCTTCACCACCACCATGCTGTCCTGGGCCTACTGGGAGTTCAAGCAGGGCTACAAGGTCGGGGGCAACTCCGACTTTGGCGCCAACACCATCCGCTGGGGGGCGGACTACCTCATGAAGGCCTCGGTCACCAACATCTCGGCAAACGGCGCCGCCATGCAGCCCATTGTGGTCGCGCAGGTGAGGGCTGAGACTGGGATCTGTGTGAGGGGCGGCTGGCGATACTGCAAGGGGGCTCAGCGGCTGCGGGGCTTTTTGCAGGGAATTGTGCAGGGTGGAAGGGCAAGGTTGTAGGGCCCCGCAAAGCCCTTGAAAACCGGGGCCTGGGGCATGCATCCCTTTTCCTGTCCTGGCCTGCTTTTACGCCCCTGACCACCCGATGGAGCTGATCAAATTTCACTCGCTCGCTCACTCACTCACACGCACTCACCCGTGGTCAAACAACAAGGCACCGACAAACACGCGCACGCAGACACACACTCACTCTCTTTGACACATAAACGCATATACATGTATACATAGTTCATATTGTCAATGATGCATCACCAACCCATGCCCTCAATCCCCAGGTCGGTGACATGACCAAGGACCGTGCCTACTGGGGCTCACCCGAGAAGTACATGGGCGCTCGCCCCGCCACATACCTCTCGGCTGCCCGCCCCGGCGGCGATGCCGTCGCAATGGTGTCTGCCGCCCTGGCATCCGCAGCTGTGGCGATCCAGGACGAGTCGCTGCAGGTGGCAGACGTGTACCTGCAGAAGGCCATATCCCTTTACGCCCTGGTAGGTTGCATGATTGACAAGGGATCCCTTTCTTGATTTGAGTTGGAGGGCTGTCGGGTGGCTTCGATGGTTGAGCAGCACGGCCCGTGGCCAGCAAAGTGAAAGTGTTGCCAGGTGTGCGGCGTCAGCGTGCTGACGGCGGCCCCGTTGCGCACGTATGGGTGTCTGTCGACAAGGTTTGACCTGCGTTTGACCACGGGTTGACCAGCAGCAAACACCATCACGGTGATGCAGGCATGCACGCCCTCTGACAGGCCTTAACCCTGATGAACCTTTCCATGCTATCCATACGCAGTCCCAGCGGTGGCGCGGCTACTACGCCAAATACGTCGAGAGCGGCAAGACCTACCCCTCAGTCTCCATGTACGACGACATGGCGTACGCGGCGGTCTGGATCTACTGGGCCACGGGTGACGAAAACTACCTCAACGACGCGCTGGTGCTGTACGACCAGACCACCAGCAGCGAGGGCCACATCAACCCCAACCCCTTCATGTTCAACTACGAGAACGTGGTGCCCGCGCTCGACCTGCTGCTCGCCAAGGCGCTGAAGGGCACGCCCGAGCAGAAGTTCTTCAAGGACAACGTGAAGACGTTTGTCAAGACCTGGATGAACACCAAGTCCAGCACTGGGGACATCTACTACACCAAGAAGTCCCTCGCGAAGGCCTACCCCTATGGCACGCTGCAGCACACGGCCAACGCCGCGTTCTACGTGCTCTCCGCGGCCAAGGACGTTTTGGACTCCAAGTTCATGCTCTACGCCTGCTGGTCCCGCAACCAGATCGGCTACATGCTCGGGGACGCCGGCCGCTCGTACGTCACCGGCTACGGCGCCGTGTCGCCGCAGAAGACGCCCCACAAGGCCGGCTCCTGCCCGCCGCCGGACGTGGCCGACTGCACCTGGGAGTCGGCCTACTACACCACCGACCCCAACTACAACCCGCTGCGCGGCGCGCTGGTCGGCGGCCCGGACGACGACGACGCCTGGAGCGACGACCGCGACATGAACAACCCGGCCAACAGCGTCAGCCTGCTCAACACGGCCGGCTTCTCGGCGGCGCTGGCGGGGCTGGTCAACTTTGACATCAACATGGCAAAGTGCCAGCAGGGCAACGGGTTCATCCAGACGATGGCACTCAAGGTCAAGGGCACGCCTGACGCGGCCGGCCAGCGCTGGTGGGAGGGCGTGTGAGGGGTCAGCGACAACCTCGCACCTCGCATCCTGCCTCGTCTTCTCTCTGTTTGGCCGCCGCGTGGGCAGGCGGCTGTGCGGGCGGCCTAACTCGGGCCGTCTGCCATCATGTCTTGGGCTATCGAATCATGCGCTTGAGCGCGGGTTCAAGCTCCTTGCACGCCTCTGCCGCCAGTTGTCTCGGCCCTTTCGCACACCAATCGCCGCGGTTGCGGCGCTCCATCCGTCGTCTGTTGCCTGGCGCGCCCCGCGTCGAGACGCGTCCACCGCCCGTGTCCGCTGCGCGCGTGCGCGCGCGCGAGAGCATACCAAGCCGCGCCCAGGCGCCCCCGCCAGCCCCGCAGCCACGCCACCTTGGCGGGGGCGGCTGCGCGGCCCCAAGGGCACGTGCGTCTGTTTCGCGATAGGAGTGACACCCCCTCCCAGCTTCTCGCGTTTCCTTTGCAGGCCTTTATGCTGTGACCTTTGGCTGCCGCTCTGCGATGCTTGCAGCCCCGGCTTGCGGCAGCTAACCTCCCGCGGCCGCTTTTTTTATTTCGGGAGTGCATTGCATGACACCTTTATAGATGCAGGCACCCGCGCCAATGATAGTGGCGAGGTTTTGGCGCACAAATCTACAAGCCTCGGCACAGCTGAGCGGGAGCAAGAGCGGCTGCATGTGGCGCGCGCCGCGGTCTGCGCCCTAAACCCTCGCAAGGGCGACGGAGGCCAGCCCTGCGCCGCCTGTCGCGTCCCGCCGCAAATGGGCGTGCCCGCGCATACCTCATTCCCGAGCCGCGCGGTGCCGCGCTGCACTATGCCATGCGCAGGCAACAACGCAGGGAGGCCAAACCCTCTTGACCCGCTGGCGCGCAGCGCGTGCCCGCGCTAATGTGTGCTGACCCGCCCCGGACAACGCGAGGGGTGAGCCACCGTAGAATGGGAGCACTGGCTCTTTCAATGCCTCTCGGAGGGGTTGCAAGCGTTGTAACTCTCCATATCGACACCACATCCTGCTCCGTTGCGTCAAGGCCAGCCTACTGTTGGGGGTGATGGGATGAGTGCAACGAGATTATGTGGATAGCCAAAGCAGTGAGTGGGTTATTGCAATGGGCCAGCTGCCAGCTCCTTATTGCAAGAAAATTGGCTGCCGTGCTTCCACTGCCTGATGTTTGGCCCGCCTGTAGTCAAACACTTTCATGCATCAAGCCCGCTAACCACCTACATCATCGCTTTGAGAGGTGGCGCAGTGGCACGCTGGCGGACGCCGGGTGTTGAGGTGAGTGGGGGCACACTGGTGCGGTGCTGACTGTCCTGGATTGATGAACCTTGCCACGTTTGACTGGTCCCAGGCAGAGACGGCAAGGGCCAAGAGCATCGGCAGGCCTGTTGAAGCGTCACATATACGATATTTTCCACTCTTATGTTTCGGCCTTTGCGGTAACTATCACGAATCTCAACTCACAATGCCGGGTCTCGGAACGACCGACAACCCCTCGCAAAGCGTGGTGTGCCTCTCCGACAGCCCCTAACACGGGCCCGGATACAGGATTTGTGCTCAAGCAGTGCGTCATTTGCACGCAGCAGCGCCTCTCCCTGCAATGGGGACGGCCCAGCTGACGCTGTGGCTGCCCACCCTTGTCGCAGCCAATGCCTTCGCGCTCGCCTTCCTCATCCACACCTTCCTCTTGGCAAACCCCTCAATAAAGCACAACCTCAGGCGTTGCTTGCACGTCTTTTGCGGCGGCACCGACCCGCTCCCGCTCTCGGTGTTGTTGGCAGCACCAGCCTTGTCAGCAGGGGCAGCAGCAGGAGCAACAGCAGCAGCAAGCGGAACTTCAGCAGCATCAGCAGCAGCAGCAGCAGCAGCAGCAGGCCCAGGTGCAGAGGCAGCAGCAGCAGCAGCAGCAGCAGCAACAGCAACAGCAGCAGGCAGGACACCATCGGGCGCAAACGACGACTCAAAGGGATGCGCCGGTGCGACTCAGAGCGTGGTGGTCGTTGCGGACGCATTCGATGAACCACCAGCGGCGATGCGGTGGGAGGGCGTCGGCGTATGTTACAAAACGGCTGCCGGTGCCAAATGGGTCCTCAAGGATGCGTCCGGCGAGGCCGCCGCTGGGGAGATGCAGGTGGGCGGTCGCACCTGGGCTCGGCGCCGTGCCTCGGCGCTTCTTGTAGAGGCAGCACTGCAATCGCAGTCCATGCCTCCGTGGGCAGCTTGAAAACCAAGGCGCACCGCAAAATGCAGGAAAGCTGCCTCGCAAGGGTGTGCGCCCCTTTTTCTGCATCATCGCACCCCACAACGCACAATCGCCCCCGCAACGCACCCGCACCCGGTGGCTGCCACCTGGCCACCCGCGCCCGCGCCCACAGGCGCTCCTGGGCCCCAGCGGCGCGGGCAAGTCCACGCTGCTCGAGGTCCTGTCCCTCAGACGCCGCCCTGCCGCCGGCCGTGTCTCGGCGCCGCGCAGCCGGCGCGCCGTGGCGTTTGTCCCGCAGGACGGGGCGTTCCCCCCAACCCTGTCGGTGCTGGAGGTGGTGCGGTTTCACGAGGCCCTGCTGCCGCCGCACGCAGCCGTGCGCAACGCTGCCTTGAACGGGGCGGCCGGGGCGGCGGCGGGGGTGGCGGCAGCGGGGCGGCCACGGGCGGAGGCGGTGCTGCGAGTGATGGGGCTGGGGGCGGCGGCGGACACACTGGTGCGTGGGGGCGGCTGCGCTGGCCGGCTTTGTTTGGCCACTACGAGCGGTCGTTGATTGGGGAATTATCATTGTGGGGTTATTATCAACATTGTTGGGTTTTGTAATAGCCTTGTGGCTCACCAGTTGCTCAGCACGAAAGGTGTGTTGGGGGCTTTTCTTTTTCTGGAATATCTCGTCATCAACGTCGGTGCTGTGATTGGCATGGGTTCTGTCTTTACTTGCTTCGTCAGGCAATACGTGGATAGCGTCGTGTCAACTGTCCAGGGGGTGTATGATATCCGCCTGTCCCTGGTTTCGTCCGTGCAGGTGGGCGGCGTGCTGCCCGGCGGCCTCGCCCTTCGCGGCCTCAGCGGCGGCGAGCGCAAGCGGCTGGCGATCGCGTGCGGCGTGCTGGGGCGCCCCAGGGTGCTGCTGCTTGATGAGCCCACCAGCGGCCTGGACAGGTGGGGGCCAGCCAATGGGGGACTGAGAGTGGTGGGCCCAGAGCCAGTGCTTGATGCACAAGGTTTGGTGAGATGCCAAGGGTTTGTCCAGCACATCAGATGCTGCTCCAAGAACAGCACAGCAGGTGCTGCTTCAAGCACTCAGAAAGCACTTGGCAAGCACGCAGCAAGAGGTCTGGGCTAACGAGTGATGTGAAACAGGAATCACGGTTTGATGCGTTCGGCTCACATATGCTTTAACACCCCCCCCCACACACACACACACTCACCTGCCACGCCCCCACGCGCGTCGGCCGCAGCTGTGCGGCGCGCTCTGTCATGGCTCACGTGCGGGGGATGACGCGGCAGGACGGCCAGGCGGTGGTGGCGTCCATCCACCAGCCTGCGGCGGTGCTGTGGGGGATGTTTGATGCGGTGAGCCCTGCGGTGTGAGGGTCAGGAAAGGGTTGCCATTCAACGAGCAGCGTTTGCATGTCAATTCAAGTTCAGCACAAACGTGAAGGGTTGATGCATGACCAGACGGGCGTGAGGGATCCCTGATTGGCTCGGTGGCCAGGCGTCGGCGCCGCCAGCTGCGACCAAGCAAGACCGCAGCCTTCGCTGGCAGGCCGGGACGGCTTGGTTCTGTCGGTGCTGCACTGACCGATGCGCGCCGTGTTACCCACCAGTCACCATCTCTCCTGGTGCCTGTTGCCGCAGGTGACCCTGCTGGCGGACGGTTACCTGCTGTTCAACGGCCCCGCCCCCGGCCTGGCGCCCTGGCTAGGAGAGTCCCTTGGCCGCACCTACGATCCCGCAGTCCACGGACTGCCCTCAGACTGGGCGCTTGGGCTGGCGTCGGCTTTTGGGCTGGGAGCAGTATCAGAGGACAGCGGATGCGAGGGCGGCCGCGCCGGCGAGGCGGCTTCTGCAGAGGAGCTGGCAGCAGTCGCCGACAGTTTCAAACTGCGACAGGAGGAGCTGCGTCGCCGCCAGCTGGCGCTGCTCGAGGCCGCATCAGGCAGCGACGACGGCAGCAGCGGCAGCGGCAGCAGCGCCCCGACCGCAGCCGCCGCGGCCAAGCCTCCGCCGCGCCGCGGCTTCTGGTCGCAGCTGTCGACCCTAGCGCACAGGGAGCTGCTGCTCGTCACCCGCAACCCCGCCGACGTCGCCGGCCGCACGCTCACGTTTGTGTGGGTGGCTGCCCTTGTGGGTTTCTGCTTCCAGGGCATCCCCGACACGGCCTCCGGCCTGCGGGCGCGCCTCAACATCCTCTTCAGCTCGCTGTGCTTCCTGCTGCTGATGCCGTTCCTGTCGACCTCGCTGCTGGCTGGTGGCAAGGAGGCGTTTGTGCGCGACGCGGGGGCGCGGCTGTACTCGCCGGCGGCCTACTACCTCGCGAAGGTCTGCGCTGCGGGTTGGCGGCGGGTCTTTGGGTTTGTATGGGGGTGAACGGGCGGGGATTCCAAGCCAGGGCCTGGGGTCTTGGGGGCCGCGCACCCGGGGACGCCCGCCCGCCTGGGGCCCTCGAGGGGCGCGTCATCAAACGTCCGCTGCAGTCTCGATATCCGAGGCTGTGCATTCGCCCTGTCCGCACGGGGGTGCATCGATGGGCCAGCGGTCAATCAGGTGTGGATGGGGCGCACGCCATCATCCGCCTCGCTTGCTGCAACAACGCCCTCAACCGCGTTCCGCTCGCGACCCCGCACCCACGCCTCTGTCATTTGCTCCCCGTACAAGGTGGCAGCGACCCTGCCCTTCGGCGTGCTGTCGTCCGCCTGCTTCCACTTGGTGGCCTACGGGCTCACAGGGCTCAGGGGCGGCGCCTGGGCGGCGGCGCAGAGCTGCACGCTGGGCGTGCTGGCCTACCTAATTGGGGCGCAGGTGCGCGCTGCCAGGGCTCGCATGCTGCGCCGCACTGCACACCCGGCTCGATGCTCTGGTGTTGAATTTCGGCATGCGCCTTCTGATTTGCATTTAGCTGGCTGCAGCCCCAGGCCGACATGCCCTTAAACGCCTGCACCTTACCCTGCGGCATGCTGCATGCTTATGTGCGTGGCGCTCGCCCTGCCCTCCGCTGCCGCCCATCCTGCCAGATGCTGCACCTGGCTGTGCTGCTGACGCCCCACCAGGACTCAGCCTTTATGCTAGCCATCGGGTGAGTGAAGCCGAGCACGGCACCCCTGCCCCTCTGCCTTCCTTATCCAGCATGAGGCATCAATTCCTCCTTTTCCAGCCATCTCTTCCTCCCACCCGTTGGCTTGATTGACTGGGGGCGCGCGCCGCCCAACTTCTGCTCTGCCACCACCGATCATTGGCCCTCGGGTGCGTCTTGCTGTCAACATTTGAACACCCCTTTTTCTCATGACATCCCCTTGCCCAACGCCGATCTGTGCGGCATCTGCAAAGATGGACCTCCCTTCAGATGATCTTCTCAGGGTTCTTCGTCGTCTTTGGGGAGCTGCGGTACAGCTGGCTGGCCCAGGTGCGCGCGCGTGCCGCACTGTGCAGATCTTGACAGCCAGTTCAGACCAGATGCCTGCACTGGGGATCTCCGCAGCGGGCTCGCCGCCTCGCGAGTTGCATTTGGGGTGCAGGATCAGCGAACCCGCGCCTGGCTTGCGGCTGCCGCCCCGCGCCGCGCCCCGTGCCGCGCCCCGCGCCCAAGCGCCGGCGTCGCGGCCCACTGCCCCTGCCCCGAGCGACAGCTGCGCCACGTCAGCGCGATGTACTTTGCCCTGGAGGGCACGGCGGTGGTGGAGTTTGCGGGCAGGTGGGCGGCTCACACCCAGCACTATAGCACACATGCGAAGGGCTTGAGGTGTCTTTCGAATCACCAGCGGCTTCTCTGGGGCTGAACATGGGGGTTCACAAGGCAAGCCCATTGCATCATCAGGAATGTCTGCGAGCCATGCGCCTCGCTCCCTGTCTTTTGTCGGCCCCCATGCGGCATCCCCGACCCCTGTCCATCTCTCCGTCCCACGCACCAACGCACCATCAACCGGCCCCCATTTATCCCGCCACCACCCCAGGGACTTTGCGTGCGACGCCAGCGGCCTCGCGCCAGGCGCAGCCGCGCTGCTCTCAGGCCTGGTGGTGAACGCCGCCGGCGCGCCCGCCCTGCCGCCCGCGGCGCTGCTGGCCGGCGCAATGCAGGGCGGCGGCGGCGGCTGCGGCGTGCGGGCGGACGCCGTGCTGCGGTACTACGGGTTTGACCGCAGCTTTGGGGGGTCTGTCGGCGCCCTAGCGGCGTACCTGGGAGTGCAGCACCTGCTAAGCTATGCTGCTGTGGTGGTGCTCGCGCGGCGGCGCTAGCAGGGAAAGGGCCGCTCGTGTACTGCTGCAAGAGCGCCTTGAGGTGTGCTGAGCGGCTCGAAGCGCGGTGCGTTGGGGGATGCAGGTGCCTCTGCTGGAGCAGGTCAAACGCATTCGTGGGTCTGCCGACCGCGTGTTACAAAATTGAAATGCAAGCAGGCAGCGCACAAAGATCAAACTGTGGATGCATGGCTGCGCAGATGAAAGGGGACGTACAACAGTTGCAAGGGGCAGCGGCAGGCAGGGAGCGGGCGCCCTACAAAGGGATGATGCACTTTTTTGGCATGGCGCGTTTTTGATTGCGTCGAGGTGGCGACGCGATGCGGGCCGGGCCCGCAACAGGGCAGGAAGCCATTGTGTGACAGCAAGAAATTAGGCACTTGTGGATGTGAGTGGCAGGCAGCCCCAAAGGACGCACCAACCCTTGCCTGGATGCACAAACCAGGAAACGCGGCAGATATTTGAGGACAGCAACAATTACAAGGCCCTCACCGGCCGCCAAAGAGCGCGGCAAACGGCCGCGACGCGTCAAAACCCCCGCTGGGCACCCGCATGGCGCCCAACCCAGCACCTGCCCCTCCCCCCAACCCCGCCGCCGCCGCCGCCGCCGCCGCGGCTGCCCCTGCAGCGGCCGGCGCCCCTTTGGCGGGCGACAGCAGCCAGCTGCGGCTGTGGATCCCGCCCAGGAGGAACGACACGTCAGCGTCCTCCCCTCCGGCCGCCTCGATGGCGACTGCCGCATCCCCAATGTCCAGGTTCACCAGCGATGAAAACTCGCCAGCCCCCTGCTGCTGCTGCTGCTGGTGTGGGTTCCGGTGGTTGCAGGGCTGTACCCCCTCAAGCTGGGGCCCCTGTCTGCTCGCCAGCCCAGGCACGGCCGCCGCCAGAGGCCGGTCCGCCGGCGGCGGCATCAGGGTGGGCGCCGCGGCCGGCGGCCCCTCCTGGCCGGGGTTGCTGTTGGTGCCGTCCCTCGCGAGCAGATCATACAGCCGCCGAAAGTCGGTCGGCTGGTCGGCCGCGCGAACGCCGTCGCCAGCGCCGCCGGCCTGCTGCTGCGCGGTGGGCGCCGCCGCGCCGGTCTGCTGCGACGCTGCGGGCAGCGACGCGAGCAGGGACTCGAAGCGGCTGCCGCCGAGCATGGAGGAGGGGGAGAAACCCGCGGGGCCCAGCAGCGTGTCGCACTCTGCTGCAGGGACCAGCGAGGCGACTTCGCCGCGGCCAGGCTCGAGCGGGCCAAATAGCTTGCCTGCGGGGGGTTGGGTATATTGGTCGGAACCGCGGCGTTCAGAAGATAGGCACACCTACAGCAAGGAGACAGGTCGACCTGATTGCGTTCCTGCAGGGTTGACGTTGCACTGGAGCCCAGGAACGGCCGCGATCCGAGGCAGCGAGCGTATGGCAACAGCGTTCGCCACGCAACGCGCGACCGAGCGCACACCTGGCGTAACAAAGGGGCTGGGCGCGTCCCCTGCTAGCAGCGCCTCTACGGACGGGCCCGTCAGCCGCAGGCCGCCCGGCGGCGTCCCCGGCGGCGTGCAGCCGTTCCCCACGTCCCCGCCCCCGCCGCCGCCGCCGCAGCCCGTATCCTCCTGATCTGCGGCCGCCCCCGCCGCGGCGCTGCCGCAGCCCGCGGTGGCCGGCTGCCAGCCGAGCCGCTCCAGGTCGCCGCGGGTGAAGGGGCCGGCAGGGAACGCGTCGGACAGGATGCGGCGCGCCATCGTCTCTGGCGGCAGCAGGCCGATGGAAGCGACGGCCAGCCCCGGCCGAGCGGCGGCGCCCGTCCACACCCCGCGGCCGCGCGGGCCGGGGCCCTTGCCCGCGGCGATGCGCGCGCTGCGGCGCGCGGCGGGCGCCGAATCCGGGCCGTCGTCGTCGCCGTCGCCGCCCCAGCAGCGGCAGTCCTCATCATTCTCATCCGTGCAAAGCATCGGCTCGTCGTCCTCATAGACTTCGCCGCCATCCTGCCACCGCCGCCGCTTCTGCGCCGAGCCGCCGCCCGCTTGCGTCCCGCCCGCCGCCCCGGCGCCGCAGAACGCGGCGGCCCGTTTGTGGCTGTGCGGGCCGCCGTCCGCCGCGGCGTCGCTGGGGGAGGTGGCCGGCGCGAGGGCCTCCAGTTGCCAGGGGGGCGGGCTCGGAAGCTGCTGCCCTCGGAGCACCGGAAAGACCATTGCCGCCGGCGTGGCAAAAAGCGCAGCGCTCGCCACGTCACCAGTTGCACTGGTGCTCATAGGGGCCACACCTACGCCTGCACAATGCGCCACACTGGCGGGTGTCGCCATCAACGCCGCCGCTGCGCTGCCGCAGTCTGCCCCGCCAGCCTGGCCCGCGCCGTGCGCCACGCCGCGCGTCCTGCGGTGCCGCCGCTTCTTCGGCCGCGCGTCGCCGCCGCTGCCGCCGGGGCCCTGCTGCACCTGCAAGCCCGCGAGCGCCGGCGTCAGGCCGCTCGCCGTCTGCCTCGCTGCCTGCCGCTGCAGCGCCTGCTGCTGCATCAGCAGGCTGATTAGGAACTCCTCCTGCTGCTTGAGGGCCGCCGGCGGCACCGCCGGCGCAGCCGACGCCGGCTGCTGCGGCTGCGGCTGCGGCTGCTGCGGCGCGGCGGGCTGCGGCAGTGGCACCTGCGGCTGCTGCTGCGTGACCCGCCAAGGCGCCTCGACCGAGTCTCGAGCCTGCTGCAGCAAACCGCGCAGGTCGACGCACCCGCTGCTGGCGCCGCCGCCGCCCGCGCTTGGCAGCTGCGCTCCAATGGCCTGCTGCTGTTGGTGATGCGGGGCCGCTTCCGCCTTTACTCGCCGCTCCCGCTTGTGGCGGCTGTCGCCGCCCTCTGCCGGCGCCCCGGGGCGCGAGTCGCCGCCCAGCACCTCTGCAATACCATCCAGATCAACCAGCCTGCTGCCCTCGAAGTCCCCCAGCAGCGCCGCCAGCGCCTCGCCGCCCCCTGCCGCGTTTTTCTCCGCACCGTCCGCGCCGCGCTCGGACACCGCCGCCGTGGGGCCGTCGGGCCGCGCCGCCTCGCCAGCCGCGGGCGCTGTCAACGCATGATTTGCTGCCGCGGGCGCCGGCAAAGGCGGCTGAGGCCCGTGCGGGCCATCGTGGCACCAGCCGTGCAGGCTGGCAGATCCCAGGTTGGACGCGTCGCAGGCGCCCACCATTTGGCCCCGCGCAGGACCAGCGCCGATCGCGCCGGTCGCCTGCGTGCCCCGCCTGCAGGGCTGCTGCAGCAGCGCGTGGTGGCGGCGGTCGCCTGTGCTGGTGCTGGTTGGCTCAGCATCCTCCACAGCCGGCCCAGAGGCTCCCGCGTCTGCGGAGTCGGAGCCGCAACACCCACCGCCGCCGCCGCCATCCTCGTCAGCGCGGGCGTCATCGTAACCGCCGTCCCCGTAGTCATCCCACAACCTGGGAGTGTCGGGCTCGCCCGCACCGCAAGCGCGAGCAGCGCCTACGCTGACATCTGCGGCTGCGGGCGCCGCCGCCTGCGGCCGCGGGCCTGCAGATTGCAGCGCCCCGCCGCTCGCACTGCTGCTGCCCGCGCCCCTGGTCGGCACCAACTGCGCGGTCGCGTTGCTGGCTCCACTGCGCTCGGCCGGGGGCGGGTGGTCTGGTGCGTCAACCGGAGCTGCCTGCTGTGGCTCTGGCGCTACCGCAGCCCCTTTGTGCTGCAGCTGCAGCAGCTGCTGCTGCTGCGGCGGCGGCGGTTGCACAGCTGCGCCAACACTGCGCTCATGCTCCCCCGCAGCTGTGCACGCACCGCTACCGGGTCCATTGGCACCGCTAAATCCCGCAGCTCCGCTCACTGTGCTCTGAGGGTGGGCAGGCGTCTGGTGCAGCTGTTGTTGCAGCTGCCCCGCAGCTGCATCCTGTGCTACGCCGGCTGGCAGAGAGGACCCACCTGAAGTCCCCAGGCTGCCGGCCGCACCTACAGCGTGCTGCTGCTGCTGCTGCTGCTGCTGCAGGGACGGCGCTGACGGCAGCAGATGATGGTGTGGAGCTCCCTCGCTTTGTATCGGCACCTGTGCCTGCACATTTTGCTGGTGTGTAAGCGTCGGCATTGATAGTGGCGGCTGCTGCTGCTGCTGCTGCTGCTGCGGGAGGGGCAGCGGCTGCTGCTCAACAGACAGCGCAGGCGGTTGCACAAGACTGGCCGCCCCTGGGCCGCCCCAGCGCCCATCCAACTCCTGGGCCGGCTTCCTGGGCGTGAGAACAACTACCCCTGGCGGCCTCAGGGCCAGCGCTGCGTCAGCTTCGTCCCCCTGCACGCAGCAACCCTGCTGCAGCTGCCAAGGCCCTCGCCGATGCTGGTTCTGCTGCTGCTGCTGCTGAAATTGATGATGGTACAGGGTCCTGGCGCCGACCTCTCCCAGGCCCGCCTGCTGCCCCGGCTGATCCAGCTGCTGCTGCTCCACCGCGGGGTCGGCTGCCTCATGGCACAGGCCGCCGCCGGCGCCAGCCGTGCCGAAGGGTGTCGGCGCCGCTGCGGTGTCCCGTTGAGGGCGATTGATGGTGGGGCCACCGCTTAATTCCGCCAGCGCCGCCTGTGGCTCACCCGGCCCCGTTAGCACGCCAGCTGCCGGCTGGCCGCCAAGGCTTGCGGGTTGATCCGCGCGTGCCTCCCCCCCTGCCGGCGACATGTGCTGCGCATGCAGGTGCCCGCTGCCCAGGCGGCTCGGCAGAAGGCCGCCCCCGCCTCGCCGCACCTCGGCCGGCGCGATGTGGGGGCTGAACGGCACCGAAGGCTGGCTGCCCTCAGAGCGCGCGTCGTGGTGGCACAGTGCCGACTGCTTGTCTGCAACCTGCAGCTGTGGCCTGCCACCGGCCGCTTGCTGAGACTGCGGCTGCTGCGGCTGCACCGGCGGGCTGGACGGCAGATGCGACGGCGCGAGCTGCGGCTGCCGCTGCCACTGCTCCATTGTGCCTGTGGGCCCGGCCTCGTCTCCCTGCTGCTCCCGCACCTGCTGCCGCCAGCTCTGGTCTTTGCAGCTGCCCGCGGCCGCACCGCCGCCCCCGAACCCTGCATTCAGGCCTGACAGCCCTCGACCGCCAGCTCCTGCGGCCGCGGCAGACGCTGACGCGGGATGCCGACGCCGCGGGCTCTCCTGGCTGCTGCACGCGTCGCCGCCGTCCTCGCTGCCAGCTTCCTCTACTTGACCTCCACACCCCGCGTCGTCGCCTGCGCAGGCCCCTGCGGCCGCCACGGCGCGGCCCCCGCTGCCGCCAGACCCCCTCGGCGCGCCCTTGGCCGTGCTGGCCGAGCTGCAGTGCGACTGCGCCGCGCGCGCGCTGCCCTTGGCGCGTGCCACCCCGCCTTTGCCGCCGCTCGCTCTCGCGTCCGGGTCGAGAGCCCTGCACTTGTGGTTGTAGCCTTGCTCCTGCTCATTCTCAAACTGCTGCCGCTGCGGCGAGGGAGGGTAACCCTCGTCCCCATTGCCACCTGCCAGGGGCGCGAGGTGCCCCTCAATCTGATCCTCAGCACTGCCGCCCACCCGCTCGATATCCAGGTCAGACTCTGGAGGCGCCCACTGCACCCGCTCACGCACCCCCTGGCCGCCGCCGCCTGCCGCAAGCCACGCGGGTGGCCCCTGTTCCTGCTGCCGATGCTGCTGCTGCTGCTGCTGAGGGGCCGCCTGCTGGCATCCCAATCCGCGCCGCTCACCTGCAGCGACCGCTGCGCCGGCGCCGCCGCCGCTGAGCGCCCCCTGGAAGTCTGCCAGCGTTATCAGCTTCATCGTGCCGTCCCCCAACGGCACCAGCAGCCCCTGGCTGCCGTCCGCGAGCCGCACCGGCATCATGCCGCCAGCGAGGGGCGGGCCCCTGGGCGCGCCGCCAGTGGCGCCTGACGAGGGAGATGGCGCCAGGGGCAGTTGGGCCGGCGGGCCCAAAAACCGCTGCCGCGGCTGATGCTGATGTTGGTGCTGCTGCTGTAGTGGCGGTGGCGGCAGAAGACCGCCGACGCCGCGCCCCTGGCTACTACCTCCAGGCGCCTGCGAGCGCACCCCGCTGCTGCTGTGGCGCTGGCTGGTGCCTGCAGCTGCTGCCGAGGGCGCAGGCGCAGAGGGGTTCCAGATTCGCTGGCCCGTTTGTCGCTGCGCGTGCTGCTGGCTTGCGCATCCTGGCCACTCCCGCTCGCATGGCCGTAGGTCCTCCCTGCTTGGCGGGCGCTGCCGCTGTTCCCGCCAGCCATCAGGGTGCTCCCACGACGCCACCACTGCATCTGTCCCTGCGTTGTGGTGCCGGCAAGACGCCGTTTGCTGCTGCTGGCCCTGCTGCGCCGACATTGGGCGATCTGCAGCACTGACGGTGGCCCGAGCAGCCACCGGTCCGCCTACCCCACCGCAGAGGGGTTGGCCCCTGGAGCCTGACTGCTGCTGGCTCGCTCCTTGTCGTGGGTGCGTCCTGTGCCGCTCGGCCGGTGGTTGCTGCCATTGAGGTTGCAAAGCGATGGTGCCACTGCCGCACGCGCCAATGTGGCACGTTTCGCCACTGCCTGGAGCGATTCCAGTCGGGCCGGTTGCGCCGCTGCGCCCGGCGCAGCAGCCCTCTGCAGGCCCAAACTGCAGCGGCAACGGCGCATCCTCCTGCACCTCCCGCAGCGGCGGCCGCCGCGGCTGCGCGGCTGGCGGCGACTCGGGGTCGGCTGGGGACACAAGGGTGTACTGGAAGCACATTACTTCGGGGCGGCCCATCATCACCCACACGTCTGCGAGCTGCAGGCGTAGCAAGTAGGGCAGGCTCAGCACGTAAGCAGAGAGTGGATGAGCAGGGCTGCGGCTGATAATGGCAGGCGCAGCTGCTGGGCCACGAACAGCGTTGCTCGCATGGACATGAGTGAAAACACGTGCGCCGTCCTGCTGTCGGCTCCAAGGCATGCTGTCTCTCAATACGGCCGGGCGGCGCGTCGCCACTGCACAGTCGTCAGGTGCCTCACCGTCACGTCATGGGGGTAGCAGGGGCTCCAGGACGTGTTCTTCAGGTGGCCATGCGCCGAGAGGTCGGGGTACAGCAGCACCTGCCACCCGTCGCTGGCGTCGCCGCCGGCGGGTGAGGACGCACCCTCTGCTGCCGCCGCCATCCCATGAGTCTCATGGGGCGCCGCCGCGCCCTCCGCCTTTGCGCCGCAAGCGGGAAGACCAAAGTGGCGGAGGAGCTCGTGCGCCAGGCGACACAGCTTCATCTGCTGCCTGCGGCGCGAAGAGCGACACAGGGACCACGTGAGGCCGGCGGTGCGCGCATGCGCCGTTGTCGTGCACCAGTTTGAGCGCGGTGGGAAGGACAGCGATATCGCCCGCGTCCCTGCGCCCGCGCACCTGAGCTGCAGAAACTGGCACTTGTGCGCACGCTCAAGGCCTTTGATAACGGCCTTAGTGCCCGCGTCCCTCGCGCCAAGGACGCAGGACAGCTTTGTTGGATTGCTCATAGCGGCCTCTCTTGGCAGGTACGTCCTGCTAAAGCAGAGCTACAGAGCCTTCATTACGCCATGTTATCTCCAGGCCGTCCTCTTCTTTCGAGCTCCCGTGCGATCTGATGGAACGGCAAGGACGACCTATTGGCAATCCTAAGAGAGCCTCAGTTGACTTCGAAACAAATCTTGTGTACAATGTGATAACTTGATATGATAGCCTGTTTCAACGTGACATGTCGGTCGTGGTCACCCGATTTGAAAAGATGGCCATTCCGACGACACGGTCCTGTTTGCTTCATGTATGGGCCAATTGTCATTGACATCGGACTATGATTGACCTATGATATCAAGCCCCCCCAAATAGGCCAAGGATCTGCGAGTGCAGTTTGCATCGGGGTGCTCACGGGGCTCTTGCTATGTTGAGGGGCGCTTTAGGATCTAGTGGGACGACGATGCAGCGGCTCTCGTCATCGAGAGGCGTGCTGCGTGGGTGCGCCGCCCGCACGAGTCTCAGTGAGTTTGCTTCAAGCGTCTCATGCCATGTCGTATCTGCTTCAGCGCTGATGCGAAGCAACCATGGCAGCGGGCTGCCCCTACAATGGGCTGCTGCCCACCACCAGGATTGCCACCCGCGCGGCGCATTCGCCGCGCGCCGCAGGCTGGTCGAGCTGCACGATTGCATGCCATACCTCGCAAGTGAAATCTGACTTGCCCCCTCCGACTGCATTGCAGGGCCCCAGGCGCTGGGCAGGGGCCTTGGCGCCGACCTCGGAGGCAAGCTTGGCAGGGCCATCGCAGGCGGCAAGCAGCAAGGCAGCGAGGGCAGCAGGAACGCCGAAGAGGCCGCTCCCAAGCGGGAGCGCACCGCAGCCGTCGCTACGGCCCCCGCCGCAGCCTTGCAAGCACCCCCGCCCGACGACGCGCTTGCGGCCGTCGCCGCCGCTCCCGCGGCGGCGGGCGCGGACGCCGCTGCCGCGGCTGCTGCTGGGGCGGGGGCAGCGGGGCCGGCGGACGACGGGCGGGCTTTTGTTGTGGAAGCAGTGCGACAAGCGCGGCGGGCGGCGAAGCCCGAGGTTGTCGAATATGAGGAGATAGAAATTGAGGAGCCGGTGGGTGATTCGACTGGGGAGCCGGCCCCGGGCTCCCCAGTCTGGGGCTGCCTGGACTGGGGGGCCCGGGGCCGGCGTCGGGCGACGCTGGCGATGTTGCGAATTCAAAGCGAGAGAGCGAGGGCTTGCGTTGGATTCAAACGGCAAAACTTTTCCAGCATCAGCTGGCCCCAAAATCAAGATACATCAGTCAATGCTTGCGCCGTGGTTGTTCCTGGACTCCATGATTTCCAGCCCCTGTCGTTTTGCACGGCCTCGCCCCCCCACCCCGGTGAACCCCCTCACCACCGCTCCCCCAGGTGCGCGGCATAGCGGACTACGCAGCCGACGCGCGCGCGCTGCTCACGGCGCCCGCGACACGCAAGGGCCTAGCGTTCGGGGCGGCGGCGCTGCTCGGGGCTACTTTTGCGGTGGCGGTGTACCGGACTTGGCTCAAATCAAACACAGTGGAGGCGCAGCGCCGGCGGACGGTGTGCGCGCGGCGGCACGGGCGCGCGCGCGGATACGTGGGGGCAGCGGGTCGGGGGAAGGCGCGAGAGGGCGGCGGAGGGGTTGCACACGCTGAACGGGCCGTCCGTTTGCTGAGCTCGGGTCGTCGGCAGCCGGGTTGGGTGTTTGCTATCGCTCCAGCTGTTGTGTGCCAGCCTTGCTCTTCAGCGCATCCCCCGGATCCCTCAGCTGCGGTGTCTGTGCTGTGCGTGCGTGCGTGCGTGCGTGTGTGCGTGTGCATGCAGGTGGACCGCAACAAGCAGCTGGTTCAGGGCCTGAGCCAGTACCTGCCCGACCGGCGCGCCGAGCTCACGCCCGCGGTGGCCAAGGTAGGGGCGCGCACGCAGCGAGGGGGCCGCTGCGAGGAGCGGGGACAGCCGTGGGCTGTGCCTGTGGCTGTGGCTTCGGCGGCGGCGGCGGCGCTGTGGGGGCCGGGCTTGGGGCTGGCGAAACGGCAGAGCTTCCGCTTCCTCGGGCTCACGCTCCCGCGCCACCTCGGCCCCCTCTCCCCTCGCCCCGCAGCGGCTGCAGCGCGGCAGCGGGTTCACCCCCGTGGAGGTGTTCAGGAAGTACCTCTGGTACGTGCTGCGCGAGAGGAAGTTTGGGCCAGACGCGGTGGCGGACATGGTGGCGCTCAAGGTGCGGGCGGCGGCGCGGCGCTGCGGGCTTGCATGGGGTCAGGTTTACTTTTTGGGACGAGAGGGCGGCAGGCACGGCCCGGCTGGCTGACCATGGGTTTGGATGGGGATTGGGGCTCGTCTATGGGACGAGAGGGCGGCAGGCACGGCGCAGCTGGCTGACGGGCAGTGTCTCGCGGTTCCGTTCGGGCAGAGTGCGGGGCGGGGAGGCAGGCGGCTGGTTGTGGCTGGGGGAGCGGGACCGGGGAACGGCGCCGTTCGAGCGAGGGGACCGTAGAGGGAAGGCTTCGCGGCCGTCCGCTGCATATGCGCCTGGCGCCGCCTCACGGCCCGCACCCGATGGTACTCTACGCGCGTGGCCTTGCTGCGCCGCAGGGCGCGCTGGGGCTGGGGGACGCTGAGGTGGCGGAGGCGCTGAGGGAGCGCGCGCAGCGGATATACGACAAATACGGTGCGTGCTGAGCGGCCGCGGCCTTGGCTTGGCGGGGGCGGGGGGTGTAGGGTCATTGGCTGGTTCAGCTTAGGCGAGGGCGTGGGTAGCCTGCTGCAGGAGCGTCGCCAAGGCGTTGGTGTCTGACGGGCGCATCGGGGCGCAGGCGAACTTATTACATGAGAACGGGCAGCGATGCAGTGCCGGCTGGCGATCGCAAACACGGCGTGTCCAGCGTTCTACCCCATACCTGCGACGTCCGCTCCCTCCTCCCCCCTCAAAACACACCAGGCACCCTCATACTATCGACGGAGGGCATGTCTGCCAGCGGGCTGCAGCGCAAGGCCACCTGCCAGGTCTGTGTGCGCATACCTTACTGCATGATGTCTTGCACGCGCTCGCTCGTGCGACCTCCTTTTGTACATTCCGCTCCCGCTGGACGCTCCTCCCTCTCATCAAAACATCACGGAAACGTTCACCACCCCGCGCCGCCGCCCTCTCATCCGCCCCCTCATCGACCTTTTGCTTTTCCGTCTGATCTCCCTCCCCCGGCCCCCATGATCCGACCCCCTCCCCCGAAAACGGCTGCCCCCGAATCCCGCTTTCCCCCCAGGCGCTGTTTTCCAAGATGCTGTACCTGACAGAGCACGACCCCCTGGTCGCGCACGACAGCGACGCATTTAAAACGACAGATCTGCGGCTGGTGCGGCGGGCACAGAGGGGGGCGCGCTGCAGGCGGCGTGCTGGGTGCAGGGACCGGTTGCGAGCCTCTGGGGGTTTGGGGGCCCTCAATTCGGGGCACTGCGAGCCCGGGCCAAGGATGTTTCTTATTCCGTCGGCACGAGTTGTTGATTGCACCGCCATTCACAGTCGGGCGCACCCCATGGGCGGGGCAGGTGTGGTTGTGAGACGCTGTCCTCGAGGCTGGCGGAGGGTTTGCCTGTTTGAGCTGCCGTGGCACCCGAGCTGCACAGGCCGTCCTGACGACTGCGAGCCGCTGGCCGCCCCCCAACCCCTCGCTCCCGCGCGCCCGACCGCGCCGGCGCCCCCATCCCGCTCAGCCCCAGCCCTCGCGTCGCGTGTCGCACCCATCCGCCCCCCCAAACAACCGAAACGCGACCCCTCGTCCCCCCACCCAGATTCTGGGGGCCACCGACGAGGACACGGACCGGCTGCGCATTGTCAGCCTGGTGGAGCTGGACGCAGAGCGCCTCGACCGCCTCATGGCGGGCGACAGCTCAGCGTCGCCGCCCGGCGCGGCCGGCGGCGGGGACGGCAGCAGCAGCGGCGGCGGCGGCGGCGGGGCGGAGAGCAGCTGAGGCTTTTTTTTCGCGGCGGCGGGGCGCCGCTGAGTTTTGAAAGTAGCGCAGGATTTCATATTTTGATGCAATGATTGGTGATTGTGCATACAGTAATTTCCTGGAAGCTCACGGGGTATGCGTCAAAGCCAGGCTTGTATGCAATGACGATGCACAGTTGTCAAGGCAGTCAGCTCAGAGGGGAGGTGACGGGGCAGCGCAAGCACGGAGCCTGCCGGTGCTATCAACGGCAGCTGGCCGGTCACATCAGCGGCAGCTGGCCGGTCACATTAGTGGCAGGCAACCAATTACATCAGTGGCAGGTGGCCGGTCACTTGATCGACGCGGCTCTTGGGTGCGGGCCCTATGGCCAGCACCGTCTGGGAGCCTGCGGCGATCTGGGTGCGGCCAGCGTCGCGCACGATGTAGCACATCAGCCCGCACTGCTGCGCACGCTCCGCCAGGTCAGCCTGCGTGTGTTGAGGGGGTAGGGCACGGGGGGTGGGGTGGCCCGCACCCTGAAGCAATGCGGTGTTGAGGGCTGCTGTCCAGGCACCCCCTGGAGGCAGCAAGCGCGTGCTTGCCGCCCCTGAGCTGGTGGGAACGGCGGCCTTTTTGCAGAGAGAGAATTGCACAAGCTCCTTCGTTTACCGAATTGCGTCAAGAGCACCCCCCTCGCCAAAAGCAAAGCGTCACACTCGGCTGAAAAGGCATTCATGGGTGACAGGCGGGAGCGCCGTCCTATGGGCGACCCCATCCACTCCCTTCTCACCATGGCCTCCTCATCTTTGACCTTCAACGCGATCTTGGGCTGCCCGCTCGCCTCCCACTGCCTGAACACCGCTTCGTGGCGCCCGCGGTAGCGGCCCAGGATGCCCACCGCCGCGTGCGCGCACTGGGCACCTGCGGCGCGGACATCAGACGCCCGCGGCGCGCAAGTGGGTCGGGGCATGCCGGGGGCGGCGCGTTGCCGCGCGCTGCCAGTCTGAAGCTGCGCTGGGCGGGCGACACAGCATGCCACGGGCACGGGACGACAGCCATGCGATGCAGAAGCAGGCACAACCGGCACGCTTTGCCTCCTGCCACCGCCCGGGAGCCGCGGTGCGTTGTTGGTCTACCTACCTATCTTCCCCTTGCCCATTCCCAAGGCGTTGTTGACACACAACACCATTTTCAGCTCTTCGTGCTGCTGCTGCTGCTGCTGCTGCTGCTGCTGCTGCTGCTGCTGCTGCTGCTGCTGCTGCTGCTGCTGCTGCTGCTGCTGCTGCGGCTGGCCCCAGCCCTCCCCCTGAGGGCCGCTCACTGGCGGGGCAG